CATATACTACTAACGCCAAACTGCCCGCGAGTCTTCCTGCAATCAAAGCTTTGATGACATCACTGAATAACAGATGGGCAAATGGCGTCCCAGTGATGTGTGAGTCAGACTTGATGAGTGGTTTTCTTCTGAAGMCTCTTACCTGCGCAGTCCTGGCAGATATGATAAGAGCTGGTCATGTCCTCTGAATCATAAAAAATGAATTTCAGTTTCGTTTATCATCTCCTCCACTATAAAATGTAACGGCTCATAGTTTTTGATGGAAATTTAATACTGTGGTCATAAGACAGATCCATAAAAAAATAAGTAAAAATACAAAAAGGTGTGAAGAGGGAGTAATATACTATATGCTACATTTAATTTTGCATGATTTACAATGCATTTGCAAAAAAAAAGACAATTTTATCTTATTGTTTGCATCTTAGTTATATGTCATTTTTTGTGGTAGCTAAGTTTTCAGACCATCATCCAAAAACGCAGGTTGAAGCTCTTTCATGCAAACCAGAAGTCATATAAATACCAGCTGTTATCTAAAGCCAAAAGCTCACTTAAAATGGATAGAGGCAAACAAGGAAACTTTCTGTGGTCAGATGAATCAAAATTTGATATTTGAATCATCCAGCCTGATAGTTAATTCATTTAAATATCTCTCACCACCTGAAAACATTTGACACATCATGAAAAAAAAAAGAAATCCAGCAAGGACAATTTGAACAGCTAAAATCCTACACTAAAGAACGAGACAAGCTTCCCTCCAAAGAGTTCATCTAGACGTTTACAGACAGTTGTCAAAGGTAGAAGGGAATTTTTTGAGATGTGCTGCTGACATCAATTAAAATAATAAACTTAATTTTATCCAAAAATACTACAATTTATTAGTTTAAACCTGTTTACTGCATTTCATTGTGAATTAAATACTGGTTTTTGAGATTTGTAAAGCCGAACGGAAGGCTTTGACATTGTGTCACATTTGACACAATGTCCCAACTTTTTTTGAATTTGGGTTGTATTTTCGAAAGTAAACACCTTTAGAAAAGGCTATGTGAGGTTTTTTTTTTCCTTTTTACTATTCAACTGTACCCCATATTGCCTGTTTGTTAGCTTGACAAACATGAACACAAAGAAACACAAGCTGCCTGCCCTCCCCTATCATTAAGTTGACAAAACAGAGCAGGTTGTGCTTTTTTTTTTTTTGGATGCCATGAAAAGGCTGCAGAGCTCTTAGGATTAAGCGTGACAAGGGGTGCTTTACCAGTGTAAAAACTGTGAAATATATTTTAAACCTTTTCAGCAAAATCCCTATAAAAACTTTGAARCTGTAGGTATTTTGTAGACAGATAAGTTACAAAATGTGTTGCATCAGCATTGATAGCGGTTATTACTTGCTGCCATACAGTGGCTTTCTTTTCCGAATCMGTTTTAAGGACGTTGAACTCAACAATTAGTTTAAATTACCATCCTAATGTAAAGCTCACTATAACTTTTTAAGATTATATATTTACTGAATACAGTGATTTAACCAGCCATAACTAACATTAGGGAGGTTAAAACTTTATGTTGCACTATGCTGACAGCACTACACACACTGTCTTCACCCTCAATGAAACTTATTAATGGAGGACTCATACAAATGGCCTCTTTCACCCCCTCTGTCAGAAACTCACCAGCCTTCCCCGCCTCCTTCTCGGACTTCATGTCCTCCTCGGCACAAGCTCCGTTTGACTCCACTGTCAAACGTGGTGTGAGCTCTCATATCAAGTAAAAACAAAAAAGAAAACACACACACACACACACACACACACACATACACAGATATATGCCTCTTAGAGCGCACACCATTCAAACTTTACTCAATGCCACAGGAAACCAGCCGCTCCCAGCTCTGCTCTCTGTGGCTCCACCCAAGCAGGTAACAAGGAAGTGTGTCCCCTGGGAGTCTCTGCGCTACCTTCCCAGCTCTTCTTTTATTTTGTCTCTTAATGGGTCACTCTCTCCGCTTCCCCCCCACCTCTTTCTCTCTCTCTCTGTGTGTACCTGTTCAGGACACACCCTTAGGTAGCCAGGACAACTTTAACACACGCCCACTCCCGGTTRCCATCTACTTCTAAAACCCGAGTGCAGCGGTGAAGGATAAGGGGGAGGGGAATACAAAGTGCACCTGGAGCCTGAGGTACCAAACCAAGTGTGGAGCTCTCACTCCACCTGATGGCTAAAAGAGCWAATAGAGGACAGCGTGTGCCATAATTCTCTCCAGAGTGAAAAAAAGTAACCTCCTAAAAGCCTCCTGCGTCTAAAATGTGTGTTTTTCAGGCCTGAGAAGATAAACCTCAAACCATGACGGTGCTGTAAATGCTGCGTGTGCAAACTGCAGAGTGAATGTATTGATAAATGGATCACGAGGGATATGAGAGTTCGGGCTTTTAAAACCAAATTGCCTTACTTCTCCACGCTGAGACGTGTTTAATAATCTGGACTTCCCATGTTATCTTAAACCCCGCAGGCAATTTGATGGCTCCACTGCTCGGTGCTGACTCAAGGCGGTCTGGATCGTGTCAGACGAGAACTCGGATGTGAGTGGACAGAGCGAATAAGGTTACTGCTGTGCCATTTTACCTCTCCACGCCTAAGGCAGGTAAAGACAGGTAGTTTTAAGGAAATAAATTCAGCCTGCAGGGCCTGGCCAGATAAAAACTTGAAATAGAGTTTGTGGTTTTATAAGCACTTGAGAAGCAGAACTAGAATACTGATGTGGAGACGTCACTTTTACAACGCTTATAGGATAAATTTGAATGAAATCTTTTGTATTTAAACAGAGCAGCCATGTCACTTCTCCTGCCTGTCAGAAGGTTAGCTCTTTAGTTTTGCTCCAAGATCAAATCTGATCTAACCAAATGCTTGTCACATGAGTCAATGGATCTGTCAATCACACAGACAGCTCCAGGATTACCGCCAGACTTTTTTTTTCTTTCTGACTTATCTGAGATGAGACAAAATGTTGCAACATCAACTCCAGTTATTATAGCAGGAATTAAAATCTAATCCAGATATCGCAAAGTGCACATTTTCTTGTGTTGCTCATTACTGCAATTTCTTAACCTGATACAACTAGAAATCTTTTTATTTAATGGAGATTAACATTTAAAAAAGTTACTGTAAATTATGCAACCGCATTTCTAAAACAGTTGTAAATTACAGACAGATTTTTACGTGCTAAATGTCAGTTGACAGCGTAAGCAGTAGATAATTACAGTTTGTTTGGACAAAAACTGTATTTTCTGTTAAGCAGATTTCCATAAAAAAGCTTTTCTAGAAGTGAAGTGGAAGGACTGTTTGCTACAAGTTGATACGAGTTAGAAAGTTCCAACTCCTGAACTTTTCAGGTACCTATTTTTATGTAACTTGTCTGCAGCATTTTTTTAATATAAACCTTTTAGTTCAAACGTAGTGCTTTATAATTTCAAAGTCACACTGTGGTTGGCTTTTAAAGCACATTGGGTTGTATTTACAGTATTCTGTTTATCTTCACATCTCTTCAGTATTTTTATTCTTCAGCTCAGCTTTCTGAATCACTGCTTATTAGTTTGTTCTGTTCACATTAAAGCCTAAAAACTATTATTTTCTCCCCTCTGCTGCTTCTTCTACTTGCAGCACACAGTTGACCTGCCAGTCTGCCTTCACACTGCTGCTGTGTTGATGCAGAGCACCATTAATATATTTATCAGCCTACAGAGAAGGCCTTTTTGCATTGTAAGGCCCGGCTTGGCCCYCCCTCACTACTCTACCTCGACTGTGTTTGGATTGAGCAGAGAGCTGTCTCAATGTGGACAGGATCATAATATTAAACACGCGCAAATCTTATTTTGTTTTATTTGCAATACAACAATAATTACACCAAACTTGAAGGAAAAGTTTCCAAAGCTGTACCAGACCATCCAGCAGTATGAAGACGTGAGGTCAGGACGACAGAAAACAGCAAGATAATGGTAGCTAATTTTAACATGTTTGGTGGCTTGTTGTGTGAACAACGCAAGTCGCAGCAAAGGATTCACGTAAAGTTTCTCTCATCTGTGTGCCGTAACCCCACCGGTCAATGGGCCAATCAATGAGCAGCTGACGTCAAATCAGGTTGAACATCCAGGCCCGGATAGAGCCAAGGGTCTCAGGGTATCAGGGTGAAACTGCACCATCGGGGCTAATGCAAACACACTGTACCCAGGTTCGAAGCCGGGACTTGCAGTGCAGAAAGGCTTAAAGGAGGAGGAGGTGAAAAATGTGAGGGGTGAAGGAGGGAAGACTGAAGCAACGATAGCAGCAGGAGAGGAAGGAAAGTGAGTTTGTGGAGTCACAGCTGCTCATTGTGGATGGAAATAACCAAAAGGTTTGTTTGGCCTCTGCTTTAAGAGGAGAAACAAAATGAATTACTAACACATAGCAGCAGTATGATGAGAGGAAAACTAGACTTTAAGATTAAGCAACAAAACAAATGTAAATCAATAGACATGATAATCTTCTGTGATACGATGTTGGTCACTTATTGCAAAGGAGAAAATGAAAAGAGCCCATCATCGTGAGCTGCTCCAGCCTGTTCCTCAGACTGATGGTGGTGATTGTAGAAGATAAGTGATCTTGTTGCAAAGCCATAATTGCACATTACAATGCGACTCAAGAGGATGCATTTCAGTCAACTCCGAAGCAATTTGCAAAGTAGATTTCTTTTCTGTGCAAGTCTCATAATCAATATGACACAGTGAATGGGGTGACAGGACGTATTAGGCTTTCAGCTGAGATAAACGAGGGCCCGCGGTGAAAGCTAAGGGCCCTCGTGGCCAGATACCAAGAGCTGTTATCTGATTGTTCTCGCCCGCGTGGGCCTTTGCTCCAGCGTTCACCTCGCAAGTCAAGCTGACAGCCCAGTGTCCTTTTAACTGCCAGGATAAATCACCATGCGCACTTCCTGCTGTCACCAAGGCAACGGGTTGTAATTTCCAGCAACATTGTACCTTTGCCCAGCGAGCAGTCTGGGGTGCCAAAGTCCATCAGGCTGGATATCTCTGTCGGGTAGCACATGTCCGTCACCACCGTCTTCTGCCTGTGATGCACTGATGGATCTGCACAGGAGGAAAAATTAACATTAATTCACTAAATATTCAAATGTTATGGATGTTATTTATAGATGACTTTTCAGATTAATTAATATGTAATCCATACGGCTGCAATTTTACACTTAAAACACCAAAATGACTATAACTAGGTCAGTTTTACAGATATTCAGCAAATCAAGCAAGTTATGTGATGTGAATTCCTTTAAAGAAAGCTACTTTTATTACATTTGTTGTGTTTTCAGATCTGAAATTGTCAAATAAAAATAAATCTCTTCGCTAAATAAAAAATAATAATTTTCTCTGCAGATAAACACGTCTTCTTTTTAATATACACACTTTAACTTGTTATTTCTGCACTGACCAATCACCTTTTCCATCAGTGTTGCATTAAATGTTGACTCACCCTCAACGTCATCATCTCTCTTCCCTCCCAGTCTGCATACTTAAACAGTTTCAACCTCACAGCTGTCTGGTATTTATCTGGATTACTGACCTTCCCTCTGTTCTCACCCTCCATCATCCTCCTGACCTGTCAGTTACTGTTTAGGTGTTGTTGGCCTGACCTTTTCTTTGCTCCTTATTATGGAGATTAAACCGCAGGCAGGCTTGGGCTCTGCTGCTCTAAGACTTCCTTACTTAACAGCCATCAYTAATGAGTGAGTGGTGGAGGATGAAGCAGCTGGCAGTGAGATACATTCACAACCAACTGCAGCTTTTTCTTAAATGTTTCAGCTGCTTATGAGCTGAAAAAAAAATCAGGAGATCCTGTGATTTGTTATTGAGGTTGTTTGAACTTTTCAGTGCTTTGTCCACCCTTTGAATGCACTGGGTTTCATCAGGACATACCCTGTCATTGCACTGTGAAGCAAGTGATGGAACAGTAAATCAAAACAACAGTTTCTGCTTGGTAAGACCTCAGCTGCAAGAGGTCAAAGTTTATAATTAGGTTAAACAGGTATGAGAGAGGAATTATGGAGATACACTTTTATAAACTAGTCTTTGGYAAATGATATAAATGGGGATATTATGCAAAATTAACTTTTTTGAGCTTTATATCAAGTTATAATGTCATTCCCTCATCAAAAACACACCCAGATTGTTGCTTTGACTCATTCATGAATGTTTGAGAAATCCTTGAATCTCCTGCGACCATACGGAGCTGCCTAAAGGCTTGCTGCTACAAAGCACCGCCTATTTGTACAAAGCTCCACCCTGGAGCTCAGTCTGCATCCCAGCTCCTGCKCCAAAAAGCACACCTTCCCCAAAGAATTGCTGTGAAGATGTGCAGAAGTGGGAGCYTCAGAAACGGTAGGAGYTTCTTTAAGAGAGAGGCAAATTTCAAGGTGTCGTCACAAAGTCAAACTCTTTTTGATATACACAGCATTTTCAACTGACAGTAACATAGTTACTTGATTGTGGTATAGAATTGAAGTATATGCCTGGAACATGCATGAAATAACATTAATAATAAAAAGATAAGAAAAATAAAATAAAAGTCCTCCTGCAAAATGGAGGACACAAAAAAGTCTGTCAGAAAGCAGGTAAATGCTACTGCTGTGCTACAAAAAATAAATAAATAAATAAACATTCTACTAATAATTTTGCTTCAGCAAAAGCGTGTTTTTAAATCTATCATAATAATTTTAGTATGAAAAGACGTCTCAGCATTGTCAGGGGAAAAAACACAGCCTTGGCAGCATCACGAGGGAAAATGCTGAACAGTTATTAACGGGAAGATGTGGAAAATTTATAAATACCCCCGAGCGTTGGGTAAGAAGTTTGAAAAGCTACTGAAACATCTAGTTATCAGTCACCAGAGGGATGCAGACTACGCCTTTGGGACACGAAAGGAAGTGGAGAGGAAACACACTATTTCAGAGAACACTCGAGCAGAACCACTGATACTGGAGAGCATGTAGACGATCTTTGTCCACCGTCAGACAACCTTTAATTAAGCRGGCAGTCAGCTCCACACGCAGCACGGCAAACATGTTGCTGAGAAACACACCGACCTGAAATCCAGTCAAATAACACCTTTAAATGTGCAGCATCAGTGAGCGAGGCAAACATGTCAYCACATGTAAAAGAATAATATTTAATAACTGGACACAGCCCAAAAACTGACTGGAAATGTGTTTATTAATTCATCTGGATGTGAATTTTGCATAAAGAACACATCAAAACTCTAGTTTTGGTCATTTTTAAAAGCAATAGGACAAATTAAAATGAGGAAAAAATGAGAATATGAAAAGAAATAATGATTCCAGACCCTAAAGCCCTAAAAATATAGCTATTTTCTGTGCCGCCAAATAATTAATTCCCACTGGCACGACAATAACCAGTGTTCAAAATTCAATTACTTRCCCTCAAGCGGTTAGGCTGAAGCAATGCATGTGAGAGGAATTCAAAACACTAGTTCAGTTTAATTTCACAGACTCGCAAACAGTGCATAAATTAACACAGCTAAATGATGTTAAGCCTTTTGAGCTTCTAACCTTTGAGGCAGAAATCTCGGCCCGGTTACATAACAGGACGGAGTTCATTTGCGAAATAAATTGCTCGAATATTTCAGCAGGGAGGCAGCTCATCCCCTGACCTCCGTGCTTACAGGTGTCTCCTGTTATTATCGCGCACAGACACATGAAGCGCAGCCAAGTCCCAGGCACTCCCACAGCCGTGTGCATCTCTGCTGTGGGCTATCATTAGGAGCCTTTTTACACCGACGGTAGCGGCAAAGTGAAAATAAATGCCTGTTATTACATAGTTACATGAAAAAATATTGAAATCTTGACAAGCTAAAGAACACTTAAAAACACGTCTTTACTGTCATTTGAAAACATCACTGAAATACATGGGGGAAATCTGATTTTGTATTTGACACGGTCCTGACGTTCTAAGAAAAAACAGCTCAAAGATTTCTCTAAAGGGACAAGTGGAGATGCTTTACTGTATATCAAAATCTGATAAGCTGTCACAACTCTATTATTRAACTCAAACATGCAGCAAAGCGTCATTCTCCCCCACATCTGCCTGGAGCCACAAACTTACTGTCTATTAATCTGGGTTTATAATAACTGGTGACACAGTGAGTCAATAATCCCAGCATCATATAACATAAGGCTGAAAGGCTGCTCCAAGGCTGCTGTGATCCATCGCCTCTGGATGTTGTGCTGCCATTAGGAGCACAACAACCATCATCTTCCCTGAGGGAACACGAGCGAGATAAAAAAAGAAAAGAAAAGACCCTACAGGTGCACATCCATTACATCAATAAGAAGAAAATGCTATAAGAGGATGAGTGGTTGAGGTTACTGCTGTTACAGTTTGTGCTCCGCAGTAAAAAAAAAACAACAACTGCAGGTTTGTTTTCAATCTAATAATGCTTTTGTGCAAGATAATAAAAAAATTGTCATGTTCGGTTGTTTTGACTTGTGGCTGAAAACGGATTTAAATAATTGATGAGCAAACAGTAAATGAAGCTGCCTAATAACATGCTACAGTATCTGTTTAATATCTCACTGCATCAGACCGTTTGTGCATTTTGCGCATTTGCATTTTAGCAGTATATAATTTATTTACCACATTATTTTATAGCTTATAAGAAAATGACTGCTTCTTTGGTACAAAGTGAAAATAAAATCCAAAACTTATTTTCTAATTTCTTCTTCTTTTAAAGTTTCTTAACCCATRTGGGTAAAATTCAAATAGATAACAAATAAAACAGCACAACAAAGAGAGATTTATTGCTCCTGCGGTGATCTTTTCCAGTGAGAATTTGTCTCAAATGTTGATGAAGGACTAACAAATCTCTCTTTGTGTCTCTTTAAAGAACAACTAATTAAATCCCATATTTCTCTTAATATCTGGTAGAACCTGCACTTATAAAAAATGCATGCTGACTTTCTCAACTGATCACATGTGAGATGCAGTAATTACGTACTCTATATTCAGCAAGAAGTTTACATTAAAAACATAAAATCTGAAGCAGATTGCAAACAGTGTTTGACTTACTGTAACTTTCTGTTAATAAATCTGTAGTTTTGTCTCATGCATTCTGCTGGAGACATATATATATATCACAGTAAGTGGTCTTACAGTGGTGTAAAATATGCAAATTTGCTCAATAAATTCAGAATTTCTGACATCCTATTGAGCTTTGCAGAGGCTTTGTTGTAGAGTTGATTTAGGTGGTAAACGCTGATAAAGCATGCTTTAGAAGATTACTTTTCTGTAGTGTGTTCCAGAGCCAAGCCGTGACATCAAATTTAGCATCTGACATCAAATTATTATCTGCTGATTTTGATTTGTTTTCAAAGTCTTGGAAATATTTTAGTATGCTTAGCCTCACAAACTGCCGTTGGCAAAGACAATATGTTTAATAAAAGATGGAAAATCCTGCTCTGACCAATGAGGAATAATAAGAACATAAACAAACTTCAATTAGTATTTGCAATCAGTTATCAATAAAAAAAATCCACATATTCCAAATTAAAAATATTGCAATGTCAACAAAAATGTTATGTGTTTGTTTCTTAATACAGATCTGAAGAGACGGACACTCGAATGAGAATCTTTTCAATTACTCATTCCGTGCCGCGAGCAACACGCGCTCAAAACAAATTCAACATTTTAGTTCTCAACCTTGCGATTAGGCTCAGCTACAAGCTAAGTGATGGAACCAAAACAGCCTCAGGGCTCAAGAGAGCAACAAAACCTATTTCAGTTTAATATTCATAACAATACAATCAGGGCAACAAAACTATTAGACGAAGCCTGATATTCTGACTGATGTGATCATCTACCAAGGCTGAGGAATAATCACAAAAGGGCAGGTCTTCCAAACGAGATGAAAAAGACCTGATGAAAACCTGACCTTCAAAAAATCCAATCTATGGAGTCATTAAAAGGAGAATAAAGAAGAAAAAAAGAAGGATTTGTTGTGTTGTTAAACCATATACATGGGGTTGATGTAGGACYGTGCATAAATTAGCTTAAACAGTGACAAA